GCAAAATTAGGGAAGAAACCGTGAGACCGAGGGTTTGTTTATATCTTGAAAGGTCGAGGGTATCAAAGGGCTGACCCTTGTGAAACTCGAAACTGTCGCGGCGTCCCGTGGTAGGCGTATGTGTGCGCGACGCCCTGCTATATAAGCACCCTAAAATTGGCCCCAAAGGTTGTCCAGCAGAGTTGACCGTCCCACGAGTATGGTCGGCAGTCTGCGGGCGTCGTGACGACTGCGTCCGTAAGGACGTTGGGTTCATCTATTTCAAACATTAACGGTCGTGAAATACCCAACCTTATCGAGGCAGCTACTACTCCTGTGCGCGGCAAAAAATCTACAAGGAACGGCCGCGACTTTGGCATATTTATGTGCGGTAAACATCATCACCACGGTTGTGACTCAGCTTTGAGACAACGCGAGAGGCCACGAGATATGCAACGATTATAACGAAGGCAGTCATGAAGATATCAAGTTTCGAACACTGCTCATAAATTATATCATCGGTGCGGTCACAGTCGTCGTCAGTAGCGGTACGGTCACGATCGCCAACCTCAGAAGCACCACAATGAGCTTGGAGTAACATCATCAACGATGAAGACTACGCCACTATTCAGAAGTACGGTCGTTGTAAAACAACCTACGGAAGCATCACAATGAGCTTGGAGTAACATCATCAACGATGAAGACTACGCCACTATTCAGAAGTACGGCCGTTGTAAAACAACCTACGGGCAGGCTGACCGTGAGATATCTATATCAGCGAGACACGACGGTTATGAGGAATAGTGACCGCGGAGACGCGCGGCTACAGCTGCGGTACGGCCACTTGGAATACGGCTGCAAACCATTGTACGGTTCAACTTTTTTCTGGTAAAAGTAAAAGTTTTTAGTGATTTAAGTGATAGGTTCTCAATTTTGATTGTGTTCAGAGATTGTGTGATCCTTTTTTATGTACTGGAGATTTTTGTCAACGTAGGATGTGAACTTGAATTTCAAATTTAATATTAAATGTACCAGTGTTTCATAACAACCCTCTCTCTGTACGATTTTTGCCGTAAACCTATTATACGAGGACTTACTGCGTGCCAAAAATTAAGCCACTACGGAAACCAACCTGACAGAATTAAAGCAATTGACGATCGAGTGATAAAACCCAAAATCTTCAATATCTGTAATAAATTTCCATAAAGCTTAAGAAAAACCCATCACTAATCACGATATGGCGGAAAAATATAAAGATTTAAATGGATATTAGCTTCAAGATCTTGTTTCCGAATTCGGTTATGTAGGAGTTGGCACGAATGTTATCCATGGGACTTCCCCATTCGTTTATAGGTACAGGGTTCCTTCCGCGTGGATGAAAGGCAACGCAGTCGTGCAGGCTATTAGTAGCTTAGTTCGTTCCAGAAAGAGTGAATTTTTAGTGTCGGCGTATACTGGATCCCAGATCATGTCAAATTTTAAAAACACAGTAACGTTAGTGAACAGCGACTACGTCTAAAGACGCAGGGACGCCATGTAGATTAGTCGAAGTGATAATTCGTATAGAGTTCGTATACACTCTGCCGAGTGTATCAGGTCTGGGCCTATACTTTCAAAAAAAGTTAAGAGATCGTAAGTTCATTAGCCAATCATTGACGGGCATTCAAGCAAAATCCACCAATCTTAGAAAAGAAAATAGAACGTAAGTACTTACGTTCACTTAGCGAGTTTTGAAAGTATGGGCCCTGATCCAGTAGTTAGGCGATTCCATATACACTGGGGTTGTGTCTGGGGAAATTGTACAGCGGTCGTAATGGGTTCCCTGTTTTATGGGTATTGACCGTGTCGTATATACTGCCAGGCTTGTATTCTTTAATTTTAGGTTGAATAAGCTCATGATGCTCGTCCTTGCTAGAGTTTCGATTAGTCAGTTAATTTTGGTTGTCACTGCTGCTATTGGATTGTTGGTGATTCAAGTAAACTGTGTGCAATCACCGAGAATTAAATCTATCTCATAAATTGGTTTCATAAAAAATTAGAATATAAATTCGACTCATTGGTGTATAGAGAGTGGCAATATGATAAACATTCAAATGTATGATATTCCAGATCTTTATACCCTTAAGATGCGAGAAGAAATGTAATGTTTAAGAAAGTAAACTAAGTTTAATGCTGTAATTTCGGGTATTGAAGCACATGTAACCAGAGCTGGGCAGCGCTACTTGGAAATGTAGCGGGCGCTACCGCTACCGCTACACCCACTAGATTGTAACGGGCGCTACCGCTACAGACAAATGTAGCGCGCTACATTAGCCAATAATGGCCAAAATTATTGGAAATGTCTGTAAACAAAAAAGTTTTGTTGGAGGGTAGCCGGTCCCCTTAAGTAAAATCTAAAGGCTTTATCTATAAATGTAGCGGTAGCGCTGTAGCGGCAAAACTTCTTATCGCTACTTAAATATGTAGTGGGCGCTACCGCTACCGCTACATTGCCTTAAATGTAGAGCCGCTACCGCTACCGCTACATTGCCTTAAATGTAGAGCCGCTACCGCTACCGCTACATTGCCTTAAATGTAGAGCCGCTACCGCTACCGCTACATGTAGCGCGCTACTGCCCGCCTCTGCATGTAACAAGCATAACCCAAATTCAAGTTCTATAGCAATTATGATAAAATAATCAAAAATTTACTAGTGAGAATTATGTATAATATTTCTCGAAGCGTTGCGAGTCAAGCTCTAGCTTTAGATAACAGATAGCTTATTGGTATGGTGGTTAAATTCATAAAAAATATCAACAAATTTTTTACCTTTAATGAACTTTGTTCAGCAGCTTTATTTTAATGTTACCCTTCAAAATGTTAGGGTTTAGTGATCACCCGCATGGTAAGAATTTCTAGCTTCTTAATAAAGTTTTCACACAATAATCAGTGTATAATTAAATGGACATAGAAAATTTATTGTTCAAATTAATCAGGTAACCAAAATATATTGAGAAGGGAAAGAAATATTTTAAAATGAAATATTGAAAAGGGAAAAGGAATATATTGAAAAGGGAAAGAAATATATTGAAAGGGAAAATGGAAAGAATTTAAAGCTACTGGTGGTGCATTGAACAGTTGCCGCTTTATCGATACTCCGGCTAACTCTTAACAGAAGAATACGAGTGTCGGCGGTAAAGAAGTGGGCCCATGGCCTGTTGGCGATTTTTGTTCTTCCCGTGACTGGTTTAGCTCGAGGAGATCCAAAAACCAGCCTTTTGACCAGATCTTCTCAAAACTAACGTAGATTTATTAGAGCTGCGACAATAATTACCATATCCGCATAATACTCCGTGTTGCTGGATGATGAATCTCTCTGAAGACTTTTACAATATTGGAAAAATTGCATATGGAATACGAAATTGCAGAGACTGGACTTGGTGGCGTACCTGGCTTCCAGCTTTGACCAACTCCTCTCACCGACTCCCTCTCCCTCTGCTCTAGGGACCTGCCCATATACTTTCAAAACTCGCTAAGTGAACGTACTTACGCTCTATTTTCCTGTCTTTGATTGGTGGATTTTGCTTGGAAGGCCGTCAATGATTGGATGATGAACTTACGATCTCTTAACTTTTCTTGAAAGTATAGGCCCTGGATTTCCAATACCACTTATTCTTCAAATGAAATAAAAAATTATTGAATTAATGGTGGTAACTTCTAATATAAGTACAAATTGACGGTGAGGGATAGAGAATTTCTCGCACCTTAGCGATCTGTGCCGCATCCGGAGAATCGCACTTGATGATATATCGATAGTTTCATCATTGATGATACGAATAAGTAATAAGAAAAGAATGAAGGAATATGCAGCGCCAACAGAAATTATTAAGCCCAGTGCCTCATACGTTCAACTGAACTAAAACTCACATTTGTTGAAGCGTGAGGAGAATCATTAATAAAATTAATCATTAATTCTCGGACCATTGAAGTTCGTTTGTCGTTCTTTTGCTGTCACGGTCGTAAATGTCATTAACATATCATTGAGTGAATATTCTCAGGAATATTGATGATCCCAGTGACTAAAACGTTCAAATGAACTAAAGCTCACATGTGTTGATGCGTGAGGAGAATCATCAGTCACCTGCCATAATGACCACGCGTGTTGGTTAGTTCATAACTCAGGGCAAATGCATTGCATTTAAATTCTTGGACCAATGAAATTAGATTGTCTTCCTCCTGCAGTCGAGGTCACAGATGTCATTAGCATCTCAACGAGCAAACACGGCTTACATGTGGGTGGTGGTTAAATACATCGGAATCAACAATTGATTGCGTTCATAATGTTTCTTGATTATACATCAGCACTTTTAGTCTCTAGTCTACTATTCCTAATTAACATTGAATTTATTAATACGAAAAGCCTGAGTGATAAACTATTCGTAATGAGTATAATTATGTAAATTAAATGACTTCTGTGTCATAAAATGAACTACAGCAAGTTAAATATGGCCTATAATTGCTACCAATAATATATTCAAGTTATGTCTCTGGTGCGGCGCGGTACGCCCAGCTACTCAATTTCTACTCAATTATTTTATATAGTAAAGGGTAATATTTAACAAGAATGTAGGGTAGTAATGGCAATATACACTATTATTCCCAATATGGATGTTCCACCGAATATTCAGGGGTCACCGATCATTCACACTGCTGTCGATCATGAGTCATAACCATTCTTAACGCCTCGGCGCTACATTGAAACTCATACGTTCTAACATCATAATGCTTATTGAGCAGAAGTAAGGGGTTAAATTAGTCTGTAAGTGAATATATTAAAGATACTGTTATACGTTATTGTCGTGAGTCCAAGGTTGGTGTGGGCGACACTCCAGGTTGGTGTGTGGGGAAAACTTTCCAAAATATTTGATAGATCGATTACCCCTTTCAACGGAACCGTTACTAGCCGGACGAATTAGTGTCGTGAGTACATGTTTTATTAAGTAACTTTCAACGCTTGAGAGGGTAAGAAAACTTAACTTCTTGCATGGTATGAACTATATGTATATATAGATTGATATATAGATCAAGATATAGATTATAATCATCAATATAGATGATTTTCCTCATGTCACTCCCTTACATTATGGGCTCGTGAATAATATGGTCAAACATTATATATAGATATCTATCCAGATACTGATGTTGGGTTCAGCCGTGTTCCGGGTGAGTTCAGTTCGCCGTGTTCGGGGTTATTTCTGTTTGTAGTGCTGCGTATGAATTCAGTCAGACGTGTTCGGGTTGAGTACTGTTTGTGGTGTTCCGTATGAATTCGGTTCGCCGTAATCAGGGTGAGTTCAATTTGCCGTGTTCCGTATAAGTTCAATCCGCAGTGTTCCGGGTGATTTCATTCTCTTTCAGTTGCCTCAAAGCTCTAATTTTTTCATTAGGCAAATGATGAATCGAGGTAACTGAAAAACAGGACATACACATCAGCATCAAACATTCGCAGATACAACAAATTGTACTCCCTAAAGGCATGGATTTGAGTAAGAGTCACGCCATACATTACATCAATGTTCTGATATCCTCGAAAAGCAATATATGTTAAAGACGATTTGGAGTTGGTCTAATGAATGTTAAAAGAAATCATAAATAAAATAATAATTCATTACGTTCAAGTATTTCATGGTAGAGTCCCTGCAAGGCTGGTACACGGTTGAGAACTTAGCGTCCGAGCTGCACTTGTTCTGCAAGTTTGTTTTCTTGAAGGCCGCGTCGTCGAAAGAGCCGTCGGCTTTAAGCTGTTGAAGATAGGATAGGAAGCGATGAGTTAATGGAAAAAAGAAGTCAAGGAAAAGAAGACACTCCTTCCTCATTTGAAGGTTTGTGTGGGAGAATTTCTTAATGTTGATATCACTGTAAGGTGCTGATGAAAAAATAGTTGAATCACAGGCATGTATCAGAAGAAAATAAACTTATCACTAATTCTCCTGAAAACATCGAAGATTCGCTTTAAATGAACTTCTATGGAAATACCTACCCGATTCCCTTTGAGATAACTCGAGTCGCCTGCTCTTTGCAAATGACTTATATTCATGTTTCTTTTTGGAGGGGTGGATGGAGAATACTCTTACACCAGCACTAATTTTTTGAAAAAGTAGTTTTATTTAGTCCGTTTCGATAAATTTTAATCCGATTTTTCCTTTCGATGCACATCCGTTCCCACTCCAGTGACCGTTGTACTCATTTTAGCTACAAAGGTACTGGACAAAAAGGGTGCGAAAAAGAATAACGTCCTAACGCATTTTATTGCAAGCAAACAACCGTGAAATGAATAATAAAATCAAATTTTTAAACACTGAACTCAAAACCAGCTCGCAGAGATACTCACAAGTCCTGAAGTTTTTAAGACGCATTTCATGTAATCGAACACAATCGGATCACAGACTTCGCCATTATACCCTGGTGAGCCCATAAAATTGGCGCAGTCTGCAGGAGGAGAGGGATAATTAGGGAACAGAACGAAGATATCTTTTTCATTTCATAACCTAAAAATAATGCAGCAGAAAAGTAAGATGGTATGTAGCCTTAAATAAAATTACTGTCCACAAAATCTTATGACTCAAATGGTGGCTGTCAACGACAAAATGAGTGTCGGAAGCGTTGCGTTGGCTGGTGTCGTGCGAGTCGTCATTTACGGGACCAAGCTAGGGTGTGAGCGGGACAATCTACCTCAGGATGAAAGATTAGGAAACTTGTTCAAACGCAGCGTTGAGCGTTGAATGAACGGTGCGTTGATAACGTAATAATTTGTTGCTTATCTATTTTCTTACTTGTATTGAATGAAGCAACAGCAGTCGAGTATTTTATTTGACAAGCCTCAAACGTCAGATTGTTGAGCCCCAAATACAGGGCGTTGGCACAAGTGGAGGGGACACTGTAAGAAACATAAATTGAATATTTTTATTTTAGTACGTTTTGAGGTAGTATGTTTTGGAAGCATATTCATTAAAATTTAACTTTGCTTTGCTTTTTAATAACATTTTGGAGCATAGTCAACATACTATCGACGTAAAATAGTCACAAACGTCATCGCGAGCACAAAATATTTTACAGCAAGAGCACACTTACGTCTGGGCCGACACCGACGTCGCGGCCACGACGAGAAGCAAGAGACCTCGATTCATCTTCTGCTTGGAGGCCTGGGGCCTGAGAAACAGAACTGGATATGTCTGGGGTCCGAAAGAAAGAACAGGATATGCCCTGTCTCTTATACACATCTAGATGTGTATAAGAGACAGACTCAATTCCTACTCAATTATTTTATATAGTAAAGGGTTATATATACCCAATAATTTAAGTTAGTAATGGCAATATACACCATTATCTCCAACATGGATGTTCCACGGAATATTCAGGGGTCACCGATCATTCACACTGCTGTCGATCATGAGTCATCACCATTCTTGAAGCATAGGCGCTATATTGAAACTCATACGTTCTATCTTCATAATAGCTTATTGAACAGAAGTAAGGGGTTAAATTAGTCTGTAAGTGGATATATGAAAGTTCTTGTTATACGTTATTGTCGTGAATCAAAGGTTGGTGTGGGNTATATCAAAATATTTGTCATCAACCAGACAGTTAGTGTATGAAGTTTGTTCCAAAAGATATTAGCGCAAAACTGCGATTTTTGCAAAAACTCGTCCAAATTTTCGTGTTTCACAACATTTTTAAGGTGAAACAATTTTCGGCGCAAAACCTGCATAAAAAGTTGTAGATTTTACCATGCAAGGCAGTGAAAAAAGTTTGAATAAAATCGGAGAAGGCGTTGCCGAGATATGAGAGAAAAACTAAAATGGTACCTCCATAACGCGATTTTCGAACATATGAGTATAAGCTGTGTAGACATCAATATCAAAACACGTACTGAGAGCGCGGATAAAAGCCAAGGGATCCCCAATTTTACTAAAAGCAGCAATAAAACATACATTTACGACACTAATTCATCCTGCCAGTAACGTAGTTGCTGAAAGGGTTAATCGAACCATCAAAATTTGTTGCAAAGTTTTTTCGTCATGCCAAAGTGAGATGACGCTCTGCGATCGCGGCAATAACGTAAAACGATATTTTTTACATGTTTAGTTACAGACTACATAATCTAACGCACTATTTTTTGTATAATAGACCTTGATGACATTGATGATCTTGCTGGCAGACTTGAAAGTTAATATTCCTATAAAATTAATATTGAATTATTTTAGTTGCTTATTTATATTCTAAACTCTAAAGAATATTTGCATGTCGAGACTAACGACTTCTGCGACCTCGACTGCCGGAGATAAACAATCAAACTTCATTGGTCCGAGAATTTCACTGCAATGCATTTGCCCAGAGTTATCAACTAACAAACACGCTTGGTCACTAAAGCAGTTGGCTAATGTTTCTCCTCACGCATAAACATATGTGAGCTTTAGTTTATTCGAACTTATGAGTCACTAGGCTTGATAATTTTTGTCTGCCCTTCGTATTCCTTTAATCTTTTATTATTACTTATTCGTATCATCAATGATGAAACTGTCGTTATATCTTCGGATGTTGTGCAGATCGGTTTTTATTTCTCCTCTAAACCAGTCACGAGAATAATAAAAATCGCCAACAGGCAATGGGCCCACTTCTTTACCGCCGACACTCGTATTCTGTCTGTTAAAAAGTAGCCGGAGTATCGACAAAGCGGAAACTGTTCAATGCACCACCGTCTATATCGCTCTAAATTGTTCCTATTATCCCTTTTTAATATACTTTGGTTCGTATGACTGATGTTTATTTTTCCTTATATTAGTTTTCTTTGCATTTCTACATCTAATTTATAAGTAATTCCCACATCTGTGGGAAGTTGGATGACGGGTAAGGCTCCAATCTTCAATTGATTAAAATTTCAAACTTAGGTCAATTGTCTTGCAAATCATTTGTCTAGATTTATTATCGAAATATATTAGTGTACCGCACTCGCCGGCGTGGCAATCCTTACCGTGCTAGCAACTATCACTTAGTATAGTTGTAAAGGGTTTTCTCATGTGAACCTGACGTACAATTTTAGATTCGTCCCATTCCCTAGCAAGCGTAACTAACTAGGGCGCTGCTATTAGCATAGGCCGTCATTGTACGACGAAAGCTTTTACTTATAGACGAACCGAGCTTATCCCCAATAATTTGGTAAGACAAACCACTGAATTCGCGGCTGTTTTACTGACTTGCGTTTGTACAATTGTTGTATATATATGCACGTTTTATATTTCGTTATAAGTTGTTTAGTTTTGGTTTTATTAAAAGTTTCGACTTCGCCAGAAACCGTTGGCAAGTAACTTCACTCAACGCGTATCAAATCATTTTACCCACAAAGAAGATTCTATCTACGAAAATCTTCACAATATTATAGTATCTTCGTCGTTGAATAATATGCCTGCATAGACCTGTCACCGATTCTTGTACTTTTCGTGACTTGTTCACAGATCTAAAAAGACCGTTATTTTGATCAAATATTCTCAACGGACGGTGGTGTGAAATCGTTTTTAGACTTCGTTGTTGCGTAGTACTAAGCATATGCTCCTGAGTACTCTTGTCTGGTTTGTTTTTGAACGAGTTTATACCCGGAGCGTCAACGATGCTATCAGGGAGGCTGCTCCACATGTCGGTGACTCGAAGCGAGAAGAAATGTTGTCGCATGGATGTGTTCCAAAGCTGTTTTTTTAGTTTATAGCCGTGGCCTCTGGTGTTGGTTCCTGTTTCAAATTCTAGTAATCCTTCTGGAACCTTGTATAAACCATGAGTAAACATATATGCTTCAATGAGGTTCTGACCTCTGATTACGAGCTATAGATCGGTCATTCACGCTGCATACATAATATCACGTCGTTAACGTCGCACCCGGCAGTTTGAAAAGATCAATAACTAAGTATTCACTATAATCATAAAAGACTAAAACATCCCAACCTAATCTACAAAATACAGAAAAAAGAACGAAGATATTCGGCACGGTCACCTTGTCTTCCCACCCTCCCCTCTCTCAACCCTCCATTCCTCAAGACCCCACTCTTATCATCCTCCTCATTAACATTTTACGATTTATGAGCATGTATCGCAGGGCTTTATTTAAAAATATAAATTTAGGATTAATTATTATTAAGTCCACTGCACACAAGTCCCGTATTAAGGCCACCGGGTAGGCTGGCCCAGTGGTTACAGTTCAGAGTACCAAGATTGGCGCAGAGAGGCGCGGGTTCGATACCNAACACTTAGCAAAACGTAAATCCGTACACTTCATCCCAGTGAAACTGTCGACCGGCGGTAGAGAACACGGACCAATATCTGCCATACTTAGCGAGAAACCCGCTATGGGCCCATGTCCCGCAGTGGGCTCGCTGCCCCATGTTACCATATGAAGTTCCAGAAAGTTCGGTTAGTTAATAAAAATATTCTATATTTTGGGACATAACTTCCCCTTAATTCGCTACATGAATAATATTTTTTTATTCTATAAATCTTTGTTGGCGATATGATTTATACTTTGCCATTAGTGGCATCCCATAGTTTCATTTCTATACAGTTATGTTGGACCGAATTTGTTGGTCTGTTACGACTAATCTGGTCTGATACTGTCGCGGGACAGCCAAGTTTGGCCGCGCTTTAAACGCTCTGAGTTTTCTTCAGCCGCCACTCTTATCTGGAGGGGCGGTGAGGAAGAAAGGGGCAGTAGGTGGGCGGCAGTCTGCGAAGTTGAAGTCAGCTAGAAGTTCGTACGTTTGTTTGACGATTTGTACACAACACATGCAGAACATTACTTAGACTTGAATGAATTTTCACGAGCTAAAAATCACCGTTTGGTAGTTAGGAATTTACATTCAAAATTTCCTTCCAATCTGTTCAGTAGTTTGGAAGACATTTTTTGATCGCTGCGAATTTCAGCCCGTATGACATATAACTTCCGAATGAAGGTGAAATTTAAAAATTTCTCACGAGCTAAACATAACCGTTAGGTTCTAATGAATGCGTGTTCCAAGTTTTATCGAGCTGCGTTCATTCTTTTGGGAGATTTTTCTTGGTCATTGAATTTGGAGATTGGCAGTGAGACCGGCTGCGAGACCGGCCACGAGTCAGGCCGTAAATATGTCCAAGCCATCTTGAATTTCTAGTGCTGAAATAATTAAAACTGTAAAAAATATATTGGTTTACTAAATGGGGTTCTATTTCTGAAATACACATTTGTGTTTAACCTTTTTCTTTTAAAATTACTGCGTACTAAATATCAAGAAAGAGGCGTTTGTTTTTATACAGGGTCATCAATATTTAGCGTTACATTTTTTTCAAAATCAATTGTTGATAATTATCCTCGATATTTGTCATTTGCTTACACATTCTCATTAATCTTTATCATTATTTATCATTTATCATCTTTATATGCTATCAAAAAGCACCAACTGTCTGCTCAAGTTGTTGACAAACGCCTCCAAAGATCCAAGATTCTTCTTTCCCGCATTCATGATGGCACGCTGCCAAACCTCGTTTTCAGTGATGAGAAGATATTCAATGTTGAAAACCACTTCAACTCCCAAAATGATCGAATTTGGTCGAAGAATGGGGACGAAGGATTCCGTGTGGTGAGTCCTCAAGGAGTCCCCTCTTTTTTGTTGACAACGGGGTGAAATTGAATCAGAAGAACTATCGAGATGCCATCCTTGTTGGTGCATTGTTGCTCTGGGCACAAAAGCACTTCAAAAAACGTCCCTGGTCGTTCCAGCAGGACTCTGCACCATCCCATGGGGCCAATCGACTCAGGAGTGGCTGTCCGAAAATGTTCCCCACTTCATTACCAAAGATGAATGGCCCCATCGTCACCCGATCTGAATCCTCTGGATTTTGGGATCTGGTCATACCTTGAGAGCAAGGTCTCGACCGTTCACCATCACAGTTTGGACGCCCTAAAGGTCAAACTGCTAAAGGAGTGGG